ATATCTAAAATTTATATCCAATTACAATATGGCTAGCCTTCTAACTCGTCACTTCCCGTGGTTTCCCCGTCCTCGGTTTCACTTCCTGAAATGGTGGACAAGGAAAAACTATGAGATAAACTCAGTAAGTAAATATGGAGTGCCCCTTATTTAAACATATAGCATGCCAACAAGTACAATCACGAAAACGGATACAGTACGGGCACGAAATAGACGTCTCCTCTATAGGTCATGGCCAGTGTATAATCCCCACTAGCAGGGCCACGATTTGCTGGCGTATAACCCCCACTAGCTGGGTTGAACGAACCGGCTCTATCACTACATGTCGACATGTGCTAGCGTTTATAACCTCCCCCACCAGCAGGGTCACAAATAACATGACCACATCGGAGACAAAACAGGCAGAACTTAACAGGAAAATCACAATTCACAATCACTTTCAGATCATCAGGACAGTCACTTAAATTTCAAGTAGGCATGCTCAATTTCATGAAAAGCACAAAACATTTCACTTCAAATTAGTCATACTTGTGTAAAACGGGTTTAGTCCCGCCACCACTTCAAAAACAAATCAAAACATGCTTTTAAAACAGTACGGACATTACCATAAATTTACTTACCTCACTTGCATAAAACCGAGCACTCAATTCACGTACTAAACTGATAGAACGATCGAGAACCTAATCAACAATCCGAGAATCAATACCATACTATCACAAATTCACACTGAAACCATTAGGATCATTCCTAATCACAATGCTATTTCCATAAATCTCCACATGATCAAATATCTCCAAATTCGTTCTTATATCACAAACTAATCATTTAAATCCCCGTTAATTGTTGACTCTCGGGGTGTGAACAGTACTCATGAACAGTACCCGTGAACAGTGACCCCGATGTGAACAGTAACTCCACTCCCACAAATTGGCCAAAACACTAGCTAATCTCACGGGATTTTCTCTCCAAAAATCACAACAAGCAATTAACACAATCATATAAATTCCACTTGAATTAAGCAACAAAACACACTTAAATCCCTCTTAATTGCTACCGGAATTTCCCCATTTTCTAGCCAAATTTGGACATCACAAGCAGCAACTTTAAATGGATAATTTAAGCCTTAAAAGGCTGTCACATACCAGAATTTACAAGCAAGGAACCGGAGCTAGCAGATTGGGGAAGGCTGGCGGGATCTGTAGGGGGAAGCTCACGGAACTACCCAAAACCTGGAGAAACACTAGATTTAACATGAACCCAAGCTAATTCAAGGAAAAACAGAGAATTTAATGGCTATTTCTTACCCAAAACCCAAGCAATTCGCCCCCACAACAAGAGCAGCCGGCGGACAGAGCAAAGTAGAGCAGATCCGGTTTCTGCAGAGAGGGAGGGGAAATTTCTGGGTTCTTTATGGGTTCTAGAACAAGAAAGGAAGGGGAAAATACCAAGCTTCCTTACCAATTTTCCAAGGTATGGCTGGGTTTCCCTTTTTTTTTTTTTTCTCTTCGGGTGGCTGCAGCGGGAAGAAGAAGAGCAGAATCGGGAATGGCTGGGAAGAAAAGAAAGAAAGAAAAAAGAAAAAGAAAAGAAGTTGATCCTTATCCAAAACTCTTCCACTTTTAAGTCCCTCAGCTTTCATAATGTTGGCTATTAAGCCCAAAACAATATTTTCTCACAATCAAGTCCTCAACTTACACTTAAATATTCCCGAAAATTTGGGATATTACACCTTTATTTTGGAGTTTCAGAATTACATCCATTAGCTCTTTTTTTGCTTAAGAAATCTGCAAGACAATTATTAGTTCCTCTGACAAGTTTAATTTCAAAGTCATATTCAGCAAAGAAAGTTTGCCATCTATTTAACCTTTTATATTCTGATGTTAAAGGTAATTTATTAAAATTAAATCCTTTAGCTTGAGTATTGTTAATTCTAACTTTAAAATGTTTTGGTAATAAGAAGAAATTGAACTTTTTTTATTCCATTTCTAATAGCCAATAACTCTTTATGATTTGAGAGATATCTAGTTTCTAAATCTTTAAATGTACCACTAGCATATCTACAAACTTTTTCTTGAGAATTTTTCAAAGCGGCTCCCCAATAAAAATATGAGGCATCACATTCTAAAATTAACTCTTCATCTTCTTTAGGCAATTGTAACCTAAGAAGATTTTGGCAATATTTTTTTATTCTTTTCACATGATTAGTGTGATAAATTTCCCATTGTTGATTTTCCTTTTTCTTGAGCAATTTTTGCAAAGGATGTCTTAATTGAATTAGGTTTTGAATAAACTGCTCTGCATATGTCACGCTCCAGAACCCAAATCCGAGGCATAACAAACGCCGTACACTTGTGAGAGGGTCCCACAAATGCACAAGGCTCGAAACTTATCCAATTCACATATGACAATCCCATAACTTAAATCAAATATTTCAACATAATTCTATGTCCAACATGACTTAAACTCGAAATCTCAAGGTCAAATCTCTTGTAACTAACAATCCATTAAATGAATTTATAAAATCTCCAATTAAAATCTAGCTTACAAGATCATGATCTACATCTAAAATCTATATCAAATTACAGGTGGCTAGCCTTCTAACTCGTCACTCCCCTCGTTTTCCCCGTCCTTGACTTCGCTTCCTGAAATGGTGGATAAGGAAAAACTATAAGATAACTCAGTAAGTAAATATAGATAGCCCTTGGGTAAAATTTTTAGCATGCCTGATAAACAGTTTAACATAACAAAACATTCAATGACAAACCATTAATGCAGAATAAGATTCAGTTCAATAACAAAGCGTTCAATGACAAACCGTTAATGCAGAAAAAAATTCAGTAGTAGTCTCATCTATAAGTCATGACCAGCGTTTATAAACCTCTCACTAGCGGGTACAGTAGTAACCAATGTTTTATCCCATTGGCAGAATTACAGAATGAACCAGTCCTATTAGTAAACATGTAATATCCCAAATTTTTGGGAATTTTATCACTTAAGTTAGGGACTTGATTGTGAGAAAAGATTGTTTTGCGGCCTAATATGAATATTCTGAAAGCTGAGGGACTTAAAAAGGAAAAAGAATTTGGATAAGGATGGCTTCTTTTCTTTTTCTTTTTCCTCCTTTATTTCTTCTCCAGCCCGCGCGTCTGCTCTTCTTTCCCGTCCCCCTGCAGCCGAAGAAAAGAAGCCAGCCGCCGGTGACATTTTCTTGAGGAAAACCGGTAAGAAGCTTGATTTTCTCCTTCTTTTCTTGCTCTAAAACACAAATTGAACCCAGAAATTCCTTCCCCCCCCTGCTGGAAAATCCGAATCTGCTTTGCTCTTCCCTCTGCTTGTCCGTCCGTTGCTGCTGCTAGGCCCGAAATTTTGGGCATTTTTCTGGTAAGAATAGCCCCTAATTCCTTTGTTCTTCCTTGAATTGGCTTGGGTTTGCTTTAATTCCTCTTGGTTTTTGAATTTTGGGTTAAAGCCGTGAGTCCCCTGCAAATTGCCGCCGGCCCTCCCCAAGCCACAGCTCCGGTTCTTGCTGGATTTATGGTATGTGACAGCCCCTTTAAGCTTAAAATTACCCATTAGTTGCTAAGTTGTCCATGAATTATTGCTGGCTGTGTTGTCCGAATTTTGCTAAATTAGGGGGATAACTCCGGTAGTTTTAGGACAAGTTTAAGCATTAATTCAAGTGGGATTTATATGATTGAGTGTTAATTGGTTGCTGTGTGATTTTTGGAGAAAATCCCGTGAATTAGCTAGTGTTTTGGCCAATTTTTGGAAGTGGGAGTTACTGTTCACGTCGTGGTTACTGCTCACGGCACTGTTCACAGAACACTGTTCACAAAACACTTTTCACGCACAGATGGCCAATAATTAATGGGGATTTAAATGATTAGTTTGTGATATAAGAACGAATTTGGAGATATCTGATAATGTGGAGATTGATAGGAATAACATCGTGATTAGGAGTGATCCTAATAATGATTTCAGTTTGAATTTGTGGTAGTGTGGAATTAATTCTTGAAATATTTTGATTAGGTTCCTGATCGTTCTGTCAGTTAGCATTGAGATTGAGTGCTTGGTTTTATGCAAGTGAAGTAAGTAAATTTATGGTAATGCCCATACAGTTTTTAAAAGCATGTTTTGATTTGTTTTTGAAGTGGTGGCGGGACTAAACCCGTTTTACGCAAGTATGATTGATTGAAATGGAATTTTTATGCTTTTCATTAAATTGAGCATGCCTACTTGAAAGTTTAATTGATTGTCCTGATAATTTGAAAGTGATTGGTGAATTATGATTTTTTTATTAAATTCAGTCTGTTTTGTCTCCAATATGGTCATGTTATCCTGTTGCCCGCTAGTGGGAGGTTTATAAACGCTAGCACATGTCGACATGTATTTCTGTAGAGCCGGTTCCTCCTGCCAGTGGGAGTTGTTAAACATTGGTATTTCTGTTACCCTGCTAATGGGGATTATACACCAGCAATTTCTATAGCCTACTAGTGGGAGGTTTATAACACTGGCCATGGCCTATAGAGGAGATGTCTATTTCGTTCCCGTACTGTATCCGTTTTTCGTGCTTACACTTGTTGGCATGTTATAAGTTTAATTAAAGACACTCCATATTTTACTTACTGAGTTTATCTCATAGATTTTCTTTGTCCACCATTTCAGGAAGCGAAACCGAAGATGAGGAAACCACGGGAAGTGACGAGTTAGAAGGCTAGCCATCTTGTAAATTGAACGTAGATTTTAGATGTAGATCGAGATCTTGTAAGCTAAACTTTATTGGAGATTTTATGATATCAGAGCAAATTTTAAAATTTGATCTTCAGATTTTGATGGTATTAGATTGTGATATGATTAAGTTTCGAGCCTTGTGCATTTGTGGGACTCGTCTCACGAGTGCATGGCGTCTGCCACGTCCCCAGATTTGGGTTCTGGGGCGTGACAAAACATGTCAACATGTGCTAGCATTTATAAACCTCCCACTAGCGGGCATAGTAAAACATGACCATATCAGAGACAAAACCATGCAGGATTTACAAAAGAAATCCGTAATTCACAATCAATCTCAAATTTCAGAAATAACCAGAAAATTCCATGAGGGCATGGATTTAACAGAAAATCATAATTTACAAAAATTCTCAAATCATTAGAGTAGTTCAGTAAATTCCAAGTGGGCATGCTCCACTCAATGAAAACGAAAATAATTCCATTTCAAATCAATCATGCTCGGTACTAATAAAATCAATTTAAATCAATAATTCAATTTAAACCTTACCACAATCTCAAAAACAATTTAAAACATGCTTTTAAATCGAAGGGCATTACCATAATTTACTTACCTCAAATCCGTAATACCGAAAACTCAGTCCAAGTGCTCGGGTGACAGAACACTTAAGAACCTAATCAAAATATTCCAAAATTAATACCATACTACCACAAATTCAAACTGAAATCATCGTTAGGACTACCCCTAATCATCGTTAGGACTACCCCTAATCACGATGCTATTTCTATTAGTCTCCACAAGACCAAACATCTCCCAATTTGTTCTTATATTACAAATTAAACATTTAATCCCGGTTAATTGTTGGCCATCAGTGCGTAAACAGTATTTGTGAACAGTACTCATGAACAGTAATCACGCAACGAACAGTGACTGCCACTTCCAAAAATTGGCAAAACCATAGTTAAACTCACGAGATTTTTCTCCAAAATCTCACAGCAGTCAATTAACACTCAATCACATAAATTCCACTTGAATTAATACTTAATTTTGTCCTAAAGCTATCGGAATTTATTCCCCATTTTAGCAAAAATTCGGACAACATAGGGCAGCAATTAACTGGACTAAATTCAGCAACTAATGCAAAATTTTAGGCTTAAAGGAGCTGTCAACATACTAGAATTTTCCCAGAAAAACTGGAGCTACAAGCTAGGGGAAGCCGGCGAGAATTAGGGAGAAAAATCAAGAAATCTACTGGAAATTGGGAAACCAAGAGAAATTAAGGTAAACCCAAGCCAATTCAAGGAAGAATAGAGGAATTAATGGCTGTTTCTTACCAAAAAAAAATGCCTAGAAATCACACTCCCACATAGCAGCCAGTGGACAGGGGAGGAAGAGAAACTGTAGATCTGAAATTCCTTTCTTTAGGGAGGGTTTCTAAGTCCTAATGCTTGTTATTTAATAAGAAAAGAAGGAGAAATTTCAAGCTTTGTCACCAATTTTCTCAAAGAAATGAGTCGGTGGCTGGAGGGGCTTGGGGGGGCTGTCGGGGATGAAGAGCAAGAGCAGAATCGAGCTGAAGAAGAAAGAGGAAAAAGAGAAAAAAATAGCTGATCCTTATCCAAATTCTTTCCCCTTTTAAGTCCCTCAAGTTTAGATATTTTAGCTAATAAGCCCTAAAATAATATTTTCTCACAATCAAGTCCTTAACTAAGTGCTAAAATATCACAAAATTTTGAGATATTACAGCATAATTGAATATTCCTAAAAACCTTTGAATTTGTTTTTTAGATTCTAATTTATCTGGGAACATCGAAATCTTTTCACTAATGTGAGGTTATAATTCTATTCTTGTGGAATCTATTATTAATCCAAGGAATTCAATTTTGGTTTTTCCTATCTTTTTTTTTTTTTTTTCAGAAAGTAATATTCCATGTTTCTTGCATAAATATGCAAATTTCTTAAGATGACATAAATGTTCTTTCTTATTATTAGAGAAGATTAGTGTGTCATCTACATAAACCATGCAAAATTTCTTGATGGAAGAAAATATATTATCCATCATTCTTTGAAATATTTGAGGTGCATTTTTAATCCAAAAGGCATTGCTAACCACTTGTAATGTCCTATAGGGGCACTAAAGGCCGTTAATGGGATACTGTCAAGAGTTAGCTTAATTTTCCAGAATCCTGATTTGCAATCAAACTTTGAATACATTTTCTTTCCCCTGATGATATTTATTAGAGTTTCTTTATGTGGTAAAAAGTAACCATTAAATTTAGTTTTGCTATTAAGTTGTTTATAGTTGACAACCATTCTAGCTTTTCCTCTTTTTAATTCATTATGATTTCTTACCATAAAGGTAGGACTATTATGTGGACTCTTTGAGACCTGTATAATCTTCTAGGCTATTAACTCTTGAATTTGGTTATCAAATTCTTCTCTACCTTCAAGGCTATACGTCATTGGTTTGACTCTAGTAATAGTTTTTAGGTCTATCAATTCAATTGTGGCATAAGTTTTATCAATTCCCCGTAGTTTTGTAGGATCTTCTCCATAATTACTTCTTAATTTTTCTAGAAGAGATTCTAGGGTTATTTCTTCTTGTGTTTTTTCATTATTCCATAATGCTAACATTGGTTTTTTAATCTCTTTTGATCGAATTTTTCTATTATCCTCACCACGTTGGTTATGAAAATTTAATAGTTCTATTATTCTAGTGTAAGCATTATAAATTTTGGATGCATAAAGCCAATGTCCACAAGGTGTATAAAATTTTACATATGATGCAGTTTGAACATACTGCTTGAATTGACTTAGGAAATTGTTTCGTAATAGAATATCATTCCCATGTTTGTTACTTTCGTAAACTCGAGGAATTATAACTTTAGTTTCACCAATTATGCCAGTAACTCTTTCTATTATTGTTTTATATTGAATAATACTTCCATCTATAGCTACACCTTTCATAGTTTGAGAGGTGTTCTTCCAATAATATTTTGGGAATACATCGGTTTCTGCCAAGCATATCCCAAATCCTGTACCTATAAAAGCATGAAAGAATTTTATTTTGTATTCTTCATACTTAATTCCAATGGATATGTATACACTATAGATACTAGTTTTTATAGTATCTTGGTATAACTACTTCTTTTCCACTTTAGATAGTCTTCAAACAATGTTCTTGTTTGTTATAGGGCTGTACTAATGTTAAGCATGTGTTTCCTAACATCAATTCTATATTTGTAGTCATCTCTATTTCAGCATGAGTTGTTATAGTAATTTTATGTTGAATCTTATCTTTATCTTCTATTTGATGGGGTACTTTAGCATATTCATGTACTGTGGTCATTGCACCATTAAAATTGTAATATGTAAATGGAGTTCAAATCTTTATAGGTGTGGAATCATATTACTATGGATATGTGTTACTCTTGCTCTTGAATTTATTAGGATAGAAATGTTATGCCATTCCTTCCCATCATAATAGTCTCCTTTTATTTTGAAATGCCTAGAAGGAATCTTTAATGTATCTAACACTATCTCATGTTTTATACTAGTCATTCTGGTCAAGACCTCTTTATCTTTCTTAGGATAGCATAAAGCTCCTAAGTCTATACTATTTCTATGGCTCAGTTCAGGTTTTATTTCTACCAATAGTTTTCCTGACTCGTATGCCATTAGTCTAGGTTTTTCTCTTTCTCCTATTAGGAGTGGTTTGTCACTAATGTCTATTTCCCATTCTTTGGGTAGTTCTATTTTAGTGATCATTTCTAGTTTTTGAATTTGTCTTATTTCAGAGAACATAGGATCTAGTTCAATATATTCTTTATCTTTGAAAAGATTAGATTGATGACTATTGGTCAGTGCATAACTTATCATATAGTAAATACTATATGGCATTGATCCATCTTTCATAAAGTTTTCTCTAGCAAATTCATGTGCTAGACTTAGAGTTTTATTAAGATTTCTATCATTAATGTTTACAGCATATTTTGGATATATTGTAAACATAAGTTTTTGGCAACTAATGTTACCTTGCACTAATCCAAGGATAACATCCTTTCTATCATTGATTCTATTGTCTATTAAAGCTAATTGTATAAGGGTGTCTATCCCTACCCTAAAATGAGCTTTAATAAGTATTTGTATTCCTCTTATGTGGATGAAACCTATCCTAGATTTATCAGTTTCTTTGATTCTTGATAATTTGCTTTCTATTTCTGCTTTGATAATTAAAGGTATATTTATTATTGTCGTTGTATTTCTTATAGGGATACTATATTCTTTCATGCATATTCCATAATAAACTATATTTTTCCTCTTAAAAGGATGACTTATAAAGGAATTGAACTTGGATCCCTTTTCTAAAGCAAGGTCCATTTCTTTTTGTCTAATTCTTTTATATTTACTTTTATCGAATAAAGTTATTTGACTGTATTCTCCATATCCTTCATATTCTTCAGAATAAGCTTCTCCTTCTTCAATATTCGGATTCATCACTACTGGAAGTGTATAAACTTTCAATTTCATATATATTTTCTTTGCTACTTATAGAGTTAGTATCTATTTCACTTAATTCTTTTTCATAAATTTTTAGGTTTTTTGTGCTTTCTCTTTTGTATCTTTTAGGGCATTCATTTGCATAATGTCCTTCCTTTTTACACAACCAGCATGTGCATTTTTTAGGATTCTTTTTATATTTTCTTGGAGTTTTGGTCTTTTTAAAATACCTCTTTTTCTTTCTAGAGAATTTGTTCTTATTAAATCTTTGTTTATTACTTTTTTTAATTCTAAATTTTTTACTTCTCTTGTTGTAGTTGGTGTAACTACATCCTAATTTGATTAGATCACTATTCTTAGGGCAATAGAGTCCTTTCTTCATACTTTTTCTTAGTTTGTTTTGACTATAGGTTTCTATGCACCATTCATTAATTTTGGTTTCAGCGAACCAAATCTTTAGCCCTAAAGTATCTTTCTTATCTTCAACATATATTCTATAGGCTTCTACCAATTTTATTCCATAAGGATTAGGAAATTTTTCAAAGAACAATTCTAGTAGGCCTTTAGTCATTCTATGATTTGAAGCCTTGTAGTAGTATTTTTGGAATAGGCAAATGTATTACATAGTTCTAAATTTTGCAAATTCCATACTGCTATTCTTCCAATTCTAGCTTCTTCTTTTTCTTGATTTTCTTCCCAATTTTCATCTAAAAATTCTCTCCTTATGGT